CCAACAGAGCTCCTGTGTATGTATGCAATAAGCAGCTTTAATTATTATTTATAAATAGAGCTTTTGGTTAATTTTATTCTCTTTGACGATTTGTAGTCTAAAAATGGTTAAGAATGATAACCCTTAACATTTAAAAGATATAATACTGAAACTTACATATAATTACATATAATTTTTGTTGTTGTTATGTGCCGTCAAATCAGACTTGACTCATAGTGACCCCTCCTTGAGTTTCCAAGATGATATTACTATGGAAGTAGATTGCCCAACCTTCCTTCCAGGGAGTGGCTGGTCGGTTTGAACCCTCAGCCTCTGGTTAGCAGTCAGGTGCCTTAGGCACTACACTAAGAGCCTGAATTAAGTCAGTGGAGAAAATGTGAAAAAATAAACGGATAATGTTTCTACTACATATTAGTAACATTTAAATTAAGAATAATTATATTCTTTTTCCTAATATTTTGTTTAAAAGTTATGTGCATTCTCACTATTCTTTAAAAAAATAAGAAGCCTGCTATGCCGAGGAATAACCTAAAAATTTAGTGTTTGTGTTTTCTATATAATAGTAAAGTTAGTATAGTTACCTTCAGAAGTAGCTATATTTGTTTGTTTACATTTCTTTTAAAAAATATATAATCACATTGAAAAATATTTGGCAACTAGAAGAGAATAATATTAGCAATAGTACCACTAACCCAGTCTAACTCCAGTTAGTATGTTGGTATAATGTGTAGCTTTTTTCTTTACATTTTTAACATAGTTATAACTACTTTTTAATCTTGCTTGTCTCTAACGGTATATGATTATGTTTCATGTTACTGCATAATAGAAGATGTAGTTTTAAAAAATTAATTTTGAGGATCAGTGAAATTAGTTACATTTAAAGTGTTGTATAATTATTGCCATTATACAGTCCTGGAGCTTTTTCATCACCCCAAACAGAAACTTAGTACCATTAAGCAATAGCTTCCTATTCCTCCCTCTTCCCAGCCCCTGGTAACCACTAATCTGTTTTAGTCTATGCATTCACCTATTGTATATTAGATATTTCATATAAGTGGGCTCATACAATATTTGTCCTTTTGTGTCTGACTTACTGTTTTGCATAATTTTTTAATGTCATAGCATGTATTAGGACTTTTCTTTGTAGATGAATAATATTCCATTTTACTAGATACCAAATTTTCCTTATTAATTTATCTGTTAATGTACACTCCTTTTTAGAGTAGAAAAGTATAGGAAAAAGGAGGAAGGAAGTAATGTGGAATGCACTTCCTAAAACGACACCCCTGTAATCATTTTCTCTGAACACTCTATAAACTTGACTCCTAGCTCTGCTTTCTGTTTGTAACGATTTGTTCATACATTTACTCTGAGCAGGGTCTTTTAGTACAGAACATTGTTTTACTTCATTTTGCTTCCTCAAGATCTCTCCAAGTTCTAGCATAGTCACACTTAATGATCACTTACTGAGTAAAGGAAGACAGATAAATATGTACATAAACCAAACCTGAGAGAGGGAAGAATTATATCAGGATGTTTTTGGCTGTAAGTTACAGAATGTCAACAAATATCTTAAACAATAAGGAATGTTGTTTTTTTTTTCCCCCCACATGACACAAAGTTCAGTCAGGGCAGTTCCAAGCCTGGTTGTGTAGCTGAACAGTGCCATGGAAAACCCAGATGGTTTTCATTTTTATACTCAGCCATCCTTAGCATTTTGGTGATTTCTTCCCTTATGGTTGCAAGATGGATGTAGGAGTTCCAGATGTCATGCAGAAGAGGTGGTATTTCCTTCTGTGTGTCTCTGTTTATTATAGAGGAAAACCTTTCACAGATGCTTCTAGCTGATTTCTACTCAGATATTACTGGCCAGGAATGGTTCACAAGGCCATACCCTAGCTAGCTTGGGAAGTGAGGATCTTACATCTTCAGTCTCTATGATGGCTGCAAGGCCAATAAGGAGTATATTGAGGTTTGGAGTGGGAGGGCAAAGGCTATTGGGTAGACTCTAGCAGTGATTGGTACAGAAATGCAAGAGGAAGCAATTAGGGAAAAGGCGCAAGTATGCCATGGGGTGCGGGAAGAGTAGTAATAGATACAGGATGAAATTGCCTGTAGTATCAGTAATATAGGGGTAGCCCTGGTGTTGCAGTGGTTAAGAGCTTGGCGTCTAACTGAAAAGTCTGTGATTTGAACCCACTAGCCACTTCAGTGGAGAAAGATGTGGCATGCTGCTTCTATAAAGATTACAGCCTTGGAAACCTTATGGGACAGTTCTACTCTGTCCTATAGCATTGCTATAAGTCAAAAATGACTCAACAGCAACAGGTTTGGTATTGGTTTGGTTTATCTGTAATATAAGGGGTCCTGGTGGCACAGTGGTTAAGCACTGGCTATTAACCAAAAGCTGGGTGGTTCAAGTCTACCTAGTGGCTCTATGGGAGAAAGAACTGGCTGACAGTCTGCTCCCATAAAGATTACCTATTACCCTTGAGTCAATTCAGACTCAAAGCCACCCTATAGGACAGAGTAGAATGCCCCATAAGGTTTCCAAGGCTGTAAACTTTATGGAAGCAGACTGCCTTATCTTTCTCCTGTAGAGCAGCTGGTGAGTTCAAACTGCAGACCTAGAGCTTAACTACTGCACCATCAAGGCTACTTCTGTAGAGATTATAGCCTGAAAAAACCCTAAGGGACAGTTTTGCTCTGTCACATGGGGTCATGATGAGTCAAAATCAATTACATGGCACTTAACACCAACATTAGTAATATAGTATATTGTGCATTATTTAGGCCTATCATATTTTTACTCATATATACAGTCTGTACCTAATATATGTATGAAAGCTGTAGAACAATATTATTTTTAAATGACAATGTATGTCAACCAAGAGCAGATCCTAGTTTTATAGAACCGTATAAATTTGAAGGTAATCTTTTTAAAAAAGTATATTAAATTGTAAATACAAAATTGTTAGACCCAATCCAGGTCTTTGGAATTGACATTACCTTCATAGTAAATCGTTCTTTATTATCTGTACAGTGTAAGTGCCACCCCCCTACATCTAACATCACATAGAAAAAGTTTAGGATGGGATTGGGTAGTAAGTCAAAACAGCAGAGTTTACTTTATTATTAATGTAATATTCAGGGAAGGGAAGATACAGCACTCTAATCCTTGTTCAAGAGAGAGATAAGATGTATGGGAATATTAACTAGAAAATAGATGTTTCTTCAAAAGACTCAAGCTTTTATTAATAGTACTTTTAAGCAGATGTAGCTTGCTTCATTCTTTTTACTGTCAGAAGTGGATGAACTAATCCTTATACTCTATTGAAACAAAATGTTCAGGTCATTATATATATTCCAGGTGTCTTTAAACATGTACATATAAAGTTGATATGGTCAGTGATAAAATATTTGACCATGCAGCACATGTTTAATTTAGATTGAATTGAATTCTTAAGTAATGTGTTAATAATTAACAGAAAATAGACTTATATCTAGAAACTACATAACAAATAATGTCACACTTTATATTTTCTTTCTATTTTCCTTAAAGGTGGGAGTGATGACCTGTTTCACCTGCTGTCTTCATGGTCTTCAGGCCATTGTAATAGCATCCCAGAGACTGCTTCTGGGGAATGTGTTATATTGTTAGGTTGATATTCCAGTCTGTTGCTGCCATCTTTTCTTTTTTAAAAAAAATCATTTTCTTTTTATTTGCTCCTATTTCTTGAGATTATATATTACCTTCCTATCATATATCATACCACATTTTAAAAATTGAAGTGGGTATTTGCTAATCAGTGTGGTGTTAATTTGTAGATGTGAATGTGACACATAATAATCTTGTATTAATACTGGTTTAATGAAATATTGAGACTTCTAAGATAATTATAACAATGTGAGGAAAACACATGTTCAATACTAACCTGTATTTTCTAACATTATTTTCTTTTACAAAGTGTGATACTACCACTCTTTTGAAAAATTAAGCACCTTATATACTTTTTTAAATTAAAGACTTTAAATGATATGCTGAATAGATACCTTAGTTTGGCTGTTAAGGCATATTTATAAATTGTTAAGGCACTGCAAATCTGGGTAAATAATACGTAATTTGAAAGTAAGACAGTATAAAAATAAGTATATCTGATTCAGTAAGAGAAGCCATGAATACATTGAGAATAGAATCAGTAACTCTATATGGTGCTTTATGCTTCTCACAAGACATTTTTAACATATATATTATATGGATCTGCCTGTCTCCCATTCTCTGTAATTTAAAGTGTGTTATTTTTAAAGCTGTTATTCTTGGATATACAAGTAAATCAACATGTTGTATGTTCAAAAGATATTTATTGTATTTCTGAAATTTATTCATTTATATAAATATTAACATTTGTAGATAGTGAAGTATGTTCTTCAGTTTTAGATATTGTTTTTCAAAGTGTTTTTAGATGTATGGTAAAAATGCACATTTACAAAAATGTTTTGTGTAAGTTTTGGATAAAATAAAAATAAATAAAAAATCGTCATTATTGGCACAAGTTTCATGTTAATGTTTACTTATGTAAATAGAACAAAATATTATGTAATTAGTGTGGTTGGTAAATTTTTGGTACTTTAATTTTCTCTGTGCGTAAACCTTGCATAAAATGCATAAAATGCTTGCCTATTGAGAAGGGCAGCATTGTCAAAGCTTAAACAGCTGACATCTGCTTACTCTCTTAAAAAAAAGAATAACAAGCCATTTCAGCCTAATCTACCTCAAATGTGTTCATGTAAATGGAGGTCCATCTATTGACCTGTATTCTTTTCAGTTCAGGATTGGTCCACATGGTTTATGAAACCAGGAAGGCTGATTTGAAATGCAGATGTTGAGACAGTGAAGTACACCCTCCCCTTTTTTCTTTGCTGTATCTGTCAGGGTGAAAAATGGCTTGCACAAGGGTCAGTCACCCATACTCACTTAATTACTTTTCTTGGACCCACAGAACTGTCACAAGCTGTGGTGGATGCAGGAGCGGTTCCTCTTTTAGTACTCTGTATCCAAGAGCCAGAAATTGCTTTGAAAAGGATTGCTGCGTCGGCCCTCAGTGATATTTCAAAGCATTCTCCAGAGTTAGCACAGACAGTAGTGGATGCAGGAGCTATTGCTCACTTAGCCCAGATGATCCTGAATCCTGATGCTAAATTGAAGGTATTAAAAATAAGGTTAAAAAACATTCATTCCAGGCTACATAGTAACCTAAGAAAATGAAATGTGTACAGATTAATATTATACATTTAAATGTAGTAAATAATCATTAAACACAGGTATGAATAGATTATGTATTTGTCCTTTTAATATGTGAAAATAATTGCTATAAGAATTAGATAATAGAGATACATTTAGAAAACATGTACAATGTTGGAAACTAGAAGTAGCGTCAGTGTTAACATTAATAACTAAAATAAGGACTCACATAATCACAGAACCATAGGGCTGGAAGGGATCTAAAGATTTTCTAGTACCACAACTATAATATTTAAGTTTCTTATGAAAATTGCTCTATTAGTCTTTTTTATATCTTTCTGAAATATGATTTTCAGTTAATCACAACTACTATTTTCTAGTAGTTGTATTCTATATAGTTTTAAAATAATATTACCTAAGCAATGGAAAATTCTTTGATATCAGCCACATGTCAAAACTGTGTTCTGCTTGATTAGTTTTTGTACAGAATTACCATGTGTCATAAATTAACAATTTAAGTATTGTACGATTAAGAAGTATTCATTCAAAGGCAGTATTTCCTGATCATCTGCAATAGATAGAATTTTAATCAATCGAGAACTAAGATATTTAATTTTTAAAATTAGGGAATTAAAAAAAATTAGTGTTTTAGTATGAGACTTGAATATGAATGTCTCAAGACAGAAATCTTACATTATATATGTACTTGTTTTTTCTTTTCATAAAGGAATTTGGCTATGTATAAAGCTGTTTAAATTACATCTATGTAATATTTTGTTTCGTTTTTTGCTTAATAGCGTCAAATCCTTTCAGCTCTCAGTCAGATAGCAAAACATTCTGTGGATCTGGCAGAAATGGTGGTTGAAGCAGAGATTTTTCCAGTTGTACTTACCTGTCTGAAGGACAAAGATGAATACGTGAAGAAGAATGCTTCTACTTTAATTAGAGAGGTTGCAAAACATACACCAGAGGTAAAAAAAAAAAAAAAAGTCATAATACAATAATTTGTAGTTGATTGTAGTTTTAAAATAAATCATCAGTTTGTTTACAGGGCCCAAAGATTATACCACACTATCTGGTTAGATCAGGGTTTCTCATTCTCAGAACTATTGACATTTTAGACATTTTGTAGGGACTATTGTAGGGTGTTTAGCAGCATCACTGGCCTCTACTCACTAGATGCCAGTAGCACCCCCCCCCAGTTGTGACAATCAAAAATGTCTCCATACATTGCCGAATGTTCCCTGGGGGGCAAAATTGCTCCCAGTTGAGAACTATTGGGTTAGATCAATGGAGTTTGAGTCTGAAATCTCACTTTTTAATCATTTCCAGCTTTCTATCTCCAGAGTATGAATGCTGTGGACCTTTGCCATCCTTATCATTTTATGTCAGCTGGGAGTAGTGAGAACAATATTATACCTCCAGATTGGGAGAGACCACAAAGGTCCCCTAGCCTAGCGCAACCACCCTAATAGCTACTCTTACACGGTTGTTTCCTGCTCTTGAGTTTTTAGATGTGAAAGGAATAGACAAAGCAAGCCTGTGTTGATTCTGAAGTAGTATCTTTTTCTATGTATCTTTTGACTAAACAGATTTCCTTTCATTAAACTTTAAAGTCTTCATTCTTTATTTCACCTAACATCTTTACTTGGTTGTGATTTTTCACGATTTGAGTGCAACCAGCCTAGTAATCATTAATAGCAAAGGAAGAATAATTAGATGAGAATATTTCCAGTCTGACATTGTTTTTCAGCATTCAATGATTAATCTGCTTCATATTCACACATTGTGATTTGGGGTTTCAGTAGTTAGCTAGTTATGAACTAGCCCTAGGCTTAGTTTCTAGGTGAGGAATTATGACATCCATTATAATAGGGATAAAAGTTGTGCCATTGCTGCATGAGAAATTGAGCCACAGAGTAAAGTAGCTCACAATATGTATATTTGTGTATGTGAAATAATGAGATTATTATACTTATATTTTTTTTAGTGAATACAGTAATTTCACTAGATGATCTTTCAAATTTTACCAGGCATTTTTAAGTTGTAAATAAAAAAGTTTGTGAAGACTAAATAACATACATGGGTCATGTCGCACTTTATGGTCACTATTAACTACCTTTTCTCCTTTTTTCTTAGCTTTCACAGCTGATAGTTAATGCAGGAGGAGTTGCTGCTGTGATTGATTGTATTGGGTCCTGTAAAGGAAATATAAGGCTGCCTGGTATCATGATGCTTGGTTATGTAGCAGCTCACTCTGAGAACCTGGCAATGGCAGTGATCATTTCCAAGGTTTGTTCTTACTTCTTTTTTGTTTTTAGTATTGTGGTGAGATATTCTAATTGATAATCTAATTAATTTAAATTAATTTTCTCCTACAGAATATAAAATATAACTGTTTGAAGTGAAAGATTTACCTGAAAATTTTTTCACCTTTTTTTCAGTGCTTATTAGTAAGTTTCCTAAAGCAATGCCTGAAGTAAAGTTCACTTTATAGGAAGTTTAAAGTTTTATTCAATAGTGTTTAATGTCAACAAAATACTATTTTGAATATTAGCCTTATCTATACTTAAATGTTGAGTATATTTGTATGTTTAAGGTTTGACTACATATAAGGAGCTGTGGTGGCATAGTGGATAAGGCATTTACCTGTTAACCAGAAGGTTCGTGGTCCAAACCCACCAGCTGCTCCACAAGAGGAAGATGAGGCAGTCTACTTCTATAAAGATTTATAGCCTTGGAAACCCAATGGGGATCACTATGAGTCAGAATCAACTTGATGGCAGTGGGTTTGGTTTATACATATTTATAAACGTACAATGCAAACTTTGGTTATGAACACATATTATCAATGTCATGCTTGATAGTCATTTTCACCATTCTTACAGGTTTAGAAATTTCTCCTTTTCCTGTCATCTGTGAACCAGTATCTTTTCTTAGAAGTCGATAATTCAGAGCATGAGTCAGTTATCAGTGTTTTTGTTTCCTTGCTCTAGGGATTTTTGCCTTATTTCAATACACAACTTTGTATTGACCCACCGTAGAATGTAGCCCTGGCACATAGTAGGTGCTCAAAAAGTATTTGTTGAATGAATAATTATTGATCTCCAGAAGACTATTTCAAAAGTTGTGTGCTTAAAGTGTGTCTGTGGTGACCACCTAGGGTGTGGCTTTCTTATCAGCATAGAAAACCTGCTGCTGTATGCTAAATAGAAATGTGGATTTTTTTGATCCTTGGTAATCCTCAGAATAAATAGGCACCTCAGATTTTTATTTTCTATCTATTCCATGTTAATTCTTTACTTCCTTCCCTTTTTATTCTGTTTCCTTTTGTTGTTCAAAGATTATCATAGTGAGTGGGTAGTCTACTGCCATAGAGATACTGCCTCAGAGACCCAAGGAGGGGTCGCTGTGAGTAGCAATCGACTTGACGGCAGTGTAGTATCATGGTGACTAGAGCAGGAGTAGTGCTTCCTGGGGGGTCACTGTCACTGTTACAGGGATTTTTAATTCTTGTTTTTTTGTGGATAGTGAGAAAGCTTACACATAGGAAAAATGATGAAAAAAGATGAAATTACTTTTGCTTCTTTCATCCCTTCCTCAAACTAACCAAAAGGCTCTCTTCTTTGGTCTCTGATTGCTGCTGGCCTCTCTCCCACCTAATTTGTTTTTCAGTTTGTTGAACAAGTGGCAGCAGCAATTAGAGGCAAACCACATAGTACTATATCATTCGTTCCTTTTTGTAATTACTGTAAGGACTGATAATAACACTTTACATTTAAATAATGTTTATTATTTTCAAAGCATGTTCATGCTTCTTATTACTATTCACAACAACAAAGACTGGTATGTCAGGGCTTAAGGGGAGGGTGCTGTCTCCTTTTCTTCCTGCTTCTTTAATTTCAAAGACCCTGAAGAATGGACTTTCTGGAAAGTTGCATTATTCTGAAGACAGGCCTGACCTTTTTGTATTGGCAGACACACATTTTTAGTTGTAGGAAAGAAGCCAGGAAAAAATATGGCAGGTCTCTTCAGGAAATTGATCTTAATAACCAAATTAAAAAGTAGAGAGAAAAGTCTTCTTCTTATGATTTGGCCTTTCCTAAGGTAACATGACCATGTGATATTCGTTTTTATGGTATTAAATTTAAGATGATAATTGTTGTAGTGTCTTGTCATATTACTCAGAAAATTATGCTTATATAGAAATTGGAATTATAATTTTATTTAGTTCACTCTTCCTTAGGAATATAAACTGATTTATTTAAGGCCCTTTAGCTTTCTGTTTTGATTATTTAGGTAAGATTGAAGACTAAAGTATGAAATGGAAGCATGTGCTATCTGTGTAACAAAAATAGTAATTGCTACTTTGACATTCAAACATGGTGAAATGGGCAAAACAGTAATTTAAAAGTTGACCAAAATTAATAGAAATTTTTATTTACTGTTTCAAGAAAAGTGTTAATGAATGTATTTCATCTCAAATGTATCTAAGTAGTATTCTAACTCATATTATTCACTTAATTTTACATTTATAGTAGTTATTTTCAGATTTATTATTCTTGGTAACAAAAGACAATTTAAGGATTGAAATTAACTCTCTCAACAAGGAAAATAGAAAGTTTTTAAATCTTAACTATTTTTAGTTTGTCATGGTGTGACCTGATTTTTACTATATCCTGGTCTGTGGTATCTGTTGTTTGATTAAATAAATGCTTCTCTATATGAGAGAAAAAGCTAGGTAAAAGTTAGCAGAAATATTCTTCATTTAGTTGGATTGTTACAGATAATTAAGGTAAATTAGTTCTAGTCATTTTATTGACTTGAAAAATGACAGCCCTGTGATGTGCTCATTTAGGAAAAAAGTATCAAGACCAAAATGATTTCTTCTAATGTTTGAGAGACATAGAAAGACTCTTTACTCCTGCTCTAGATTCATAACACTTCCTCTTTTGATCAACACTACAGGGTGTACCCCAGTTGTCAGTCTGCTTGTCGGAAGAACCAGAAGATCATATTAAGGCTGCTGCTGCTTGGGCCTTAGGACAGATTGGGAGACACACTCCTGAACATGCACGGGCTGTTGCAGTGACAAATACATTGCCAGTTCTACTTTCTTTGTACATGTCAACAGAAAGTTCTGAGGATCTTCAAGTGAAAGTAAGTGCTTCATTTTTAAATGTTTTATGAAAATTTATTAGATTTTTTTTTTTTTTTTTTTTACTTTTATTGTGGTGAAAACATACATATGACTCATGATATTTGCCAACATA